TCTTGCATCCACGAATGCCTGCTTATTCAGATGGCACGCGAAGAAGATGCCTCATTGGTCCTGTTGTATGAAATACTACCGGCGTTGATTTAAGTCCTTTTTTAAAAAAATCCGTCATTGCCAATAGAGGTGAATATGCGGGTTCCAGGAAGCAGTTCAGAAGAAGGAGGTGCGATCACTGGAGCAAGAGGTTTATTGTCCTGACGATTTGGATCCCGTCGGGTTTCCTTAAGCATAGGTAATGATACAATATTCTGAGTCATGCGCAGATAGAATAGAATAGATCTGCGCATGACTCAGAATATTGTACCGGTACCTATGATTAATGATTCCCGACGGAATCCGAAACATCAAGACAATAAAACTCTTGTTCCAGTGATCGCACCTCCTGAAATCAGTTATTGCTGTAGATATTAGCACTCCAAACAAAGTTTTCAATAGCTTTCGACTTGTTTGGCGTTTAGAAAAATTATTCAGGTTTATGCATGCTCACAACTTTGATATAACCTTATATCGAATATGATACAATCTGGCAGTAATATCAGATGTCTTAGGCATATAATTGGGTTTCGTAACTCCGCCCTGTTTTCACTACTACGCCCTCCCTTTTCTTTAAGCTTCTTCGTAAGACTGCTGGCTGACCAGAGTCTCAAAGAGGCTGAAATGGTCCACGTGGATGCCAATGGGCACTGGCGAGAGGCTTCTAAGCCCACTGAGAGTTGTTCACCCGCTGCCGTATCTGCAATGGAGTCAGCTGCAGATATTCGACCCGACAATCCGCCACCCGTGGCTGTTCCTTCCCTGGTAAACGGAACCTCTACGATGTCACCTTGCAAGCTGGAATCCAATTTTGCGTCCAGACCGGTGGTGACACCGCCGCCAGCACCCGATTTCTCTCAGTTCGATGATGATTGTGTTGTTCTCATTGATACTGACGATGAGGAGGACGACCAGGCGAGTGCTGGCGTGACGCAACCAACGCAACCCACTTTTACCCAGCCGG